CCTAAACCCTAAACCCTTTTCTTCAACTGTTGGCCTTCTCCAGGTAGCGCACCACAAAGGGCGGCAGTGAGGCTACAAGCGAATGCTGCTCCTGCTTGCACAGAATAATTCTAGGTACCCATAGGGGTTGTAGGGGATATATAGGGATATATAGGGTTTAGAGTTTAGGATTGAGGGTTAATGATTTAGAGGTTAGGGGTTTAAGGGTTTCGTGGGTTCTGGGTCTTTGTAGGGCCCATTTTGCACATCCACGTTGGCTTAGGCGAAGGTAAGCTTCTGAAGACCTCATTCTGCGGCCAGGACTGTCCATGGATGGGAGACATATTGAGGATGTCACTTTCATGTATATCAATACTTGAAGGCTCAGGGGACTCAGAAAGTAGGCTATCCCTGAATCCCCAAACCCCACACTCTAAGCCGCGACTCTACAACCTACTTACTAGGTCCCGGGAGCCTCTGTAGCTGACCACTGCACACCAAAGTAAGAACGCCTGGCATACCTGGTGGCGACTTAAGACTTGTTCCAGAGGAAATATGCAGGGTCTGGGGCTTAGGAACTAAGATATCTCGGGTTCAGGGTTAAGGAAATCTCATACCCTAGACGGCCGTTGTCTATCGCAGGGGCCTCCCTGACCTTCCAGATAAGGGAAGGTTTTGTAGGTGGGGTGTGAGGAATCTCAGATTCAATTTGGGAAGGAAGGACGTAGGGAGTAGATGAGTGGATCCCTATAGCAGTCCCTGCGGACTCCCGACTCCTATGCCAGTAATGCTTATAGATCCGCAGAATCCTAAAGTAAACCCCAAACCAGTAAACCCTAAATCCTAAAACCCTAAACTCTTAATCCCCAATCCCCACACCCGAAATCCCTAAACCCTAAACCCCAAACCCCAATTCCTAAACCCTAATCCCTAAACCCTAAAATCCTAAATCCTAATCCCATAACCCTATAATTCCTAAACCCTTTTTCATCCCCTAAACCCTAAAATACCCCAAAACCCTAAGCCCCCGAAGATCCTAAGCAGCTCCTTTCGGAGTGCCAGCTCCATGCAGGCCAGGGCGCGGATGGGGAAACCGCCACTAAAGCCCGCCTGGCCGGGTTTAGGGTTTAGGGTTTAGGGTCTAGGGTTTAGGGTTTAGGGTTCAGGGTGTAGGGTTTAGGGTTCAGGCTGTAGGGTTTAGGGTTCAGGGTTCAGAGCTTAGGGCTTAGGATTTCTGGTTTAGGGTTCGAGGGTCTAGGGTTTACATCTTAGGGTTTAAAAGTTTGAAAGTTTGCTGTTTAGATTCAGGGTCTACATTATGGTGTTGGGGCTCTGGGGCTTGGCTCTTGCCTTAGGCTTCATTTTCAAATCCGCAGTTTCTGGAAAAGGCTGCTTCGAGATGACGGTTGAAGGTCTAGGCTGCAGGGTTAGGGGGTGTAGGCGGTTTGGGGGTTTACATATTTGGGGGGTTGGGGGTTCTGCTTGGGCATCCCCTTAGAGCTCTTCTGCCAAAACGCTTTGCCTGGACTGTCGGCGTCCCAAATCAAAGCAATTATCTGTCCCTCAACCCCACACCCTAGACCCTAATCCCTAAACCTTCCCCATGTGCTCGCCAGTTTTGGCCCCCGCAAACACTCAAGGGTGGGTCAAGTTGCCTGGTCTTGCAATAATAGCAGTAGAAGCCGTCGTCGTCGCAGTACTACTACAAGTACTAACAAGGACAATGACAACTCGGCCACGTGCTAACAGTAATGGTGACAGGCTTCTTCCACCAAACCCAAAACAAGTGAACCCGATCTTCTACTTCTCGAACATCACCGCAAGCGCGAGCCCAGAACGAAGCCAAAAAGAATGTTACTGGTGGAAATGAATAAGGAAATATAAGGGTCATTTTCCCTAAGCTCTAAACCAAAAACCCTTCAAACCCCAACCCTTCAAAGCCTAAACCCTTTTATGTTCCGTTCTTCCCGAGTAACCACGAGGAAAGGAATCGCGCCTGAACCTCTGCGCAGCGTTTCAGGAAGGCACGCCGCAGAGCATCGCCTGGCAACATCACGTTTGCCGTACTGAGATTTAAGGTTTCGGGTTAAAGGGTTGCGTATAGGGTTTCGGTGAGGGTGTAGCGTTTTAGGGATATAGTTATAGGGTTTAAGGTTATATAGGGGCTTTATACTGACTATATAGGTCTGATATAGGGGGCTTAGGATTTAGGGTTAAGGAATTAGGATTTGAGGGGTTCAGGGTGTAGGGGGATTGGGGATATGGGTTTGGGGGAGGTTGATGGGATCAAGGATCAAGGAATCTGGCTTGATTGTACTTGTGAGCTGGATCTTCAAACACCTTCCCAGATGCCCTGAAACTAAGCACAGTTTAGGGTTTAGGGTTGATTGTGCCAGGTTTAGGGTGCATCTCTCAAAAAGTGCGACCTGGCACGTGCCAGCGCACAAGATGGACAATCGGAGCAGTCTGGCAACTGACATACTAGCATGGAAGCATGCTCCGAGACTGTTGCCATTATTGCCACTGCTAGTAATACTAGTACGATTACCTATCGCACTGTTACCAGTACTATCACTCCTCCTCCTCCTCCTACTACTACTACTACTATCACGCCCGCTATCTCTATCACTATTGCTATCACTATCTCTATTGTCATTGCTAGTGTCATTTACCACCACCACCACCACCACCACCACGACGACGACGACGACGACGACGACAACGACTCTTATGATGATGACTATTAGTCGGACTACTACATGTACTTTGTGTTTGAACTCCTTTCCCTCAATTCAGGGCTTTACACAAGCTGGCGTGACCCATGTAGTTCACCAGGAAGACTGGCGAAACCATGCAGCAAAGCTCTGCATCCAGCTCCTCTGCTGTGTTCCCTATGCGGGGAGCTTCCGAAAATCAGGCGTCCCGTTTTGCGGGATCCCTATAATACACTATATAGTTATATATATATATATATGTATGGGCCCCGCATGTTTAGTGAAGCTACCATAAGGCCCAGTAGACACCACTACTTTGGCCACATTACAACACTCTTTTACCCATGTTTGACTTGGAAACAATAAGATTCTTTCGAAGATGACAGACCGGTGCAAATCACAGCTAGTTTCCTGGCACCCAGAACCATAACCTTCTTCCCTTCTCCCAGGCACTGAACCCGAAACGCCTGACTAGAATGGAATTTTCCCAGCAACATTAACCGGTACCCGCTCTCAGCTAAGAAGTCGTCCTCAATGCGATGCTCAAAGTGCCGGTTGAAGTGTTCGACGAACTTGGGCTGCGACCGGCACCTCAGCCATCTTCCAGATCAGGATTCAAGGATCTGGGAATCTTTGGGGATTGGAGGTTCAAGGGTTCAAAGTTTGGGAATTTCAGGGTTTAGGACTCAGGGGCTTGAGGGCTGAGCTGTATGGGTTTACAAGTTGAGGGTCTAAAGCGACTCAGCAGAAGCCGTAGAGGGGTTTGCACGTTCAAGTTTTGAGGCTTGGCTTACGCTCTCGCGTTTTATCTTTGCGGAGCAGATCCGACAAGATAAGCCCCAACGATTGTCCAAGTTGCCGAAAACCCATGCCCCGTTCCCGGCTACCTACCCTAAACCCTAAATCCACAATGCAGCATCTTCATTTTCATCCCCTGAGTTCCCACCCACACTAACAGTCATTGGGGCAGTAGCCAAGGGGCGAACATGAGGGACAGACTCGGAGAAATCAAGCCCATAACCCCACACCCTCCTTGGGACCCTGCTATACCAGGATTTTTTTGCTTCGGGGCCGGACCATAATTCAGAGAAAAAACACCTCGCTTCTAGGGACTGTACTGTACCAGGGACCCCCCAAACAGGACCTTTCACCCTCAACCCTCAACCCTCAACCCTAAACCCTAAACCAAGTAGATTTCATGGTTTCTGGTTCCAGGTGCGAGGCTCAGGATTCGGTTTTGTAGTCCAGGGTTGGTGGTTCAGGGTGTAGGGTTTCGGGTTTTTGGGTTCAGGGTTTAGGGTTTGGGCTTCCGGCCTTAAAGTTGAGGGTTCTGGCGTCTTCCTTGCATCCTGGGCCTCACAAGCACGAAATATCAAAAACAAAAACTGCTGCCCAACGGCTCCAACGCCGCAAGCGCATTGGCAGTCTTGACCAGAAGCCTGAGGAGCTCAAATCCAGGAGGTGATGCTGAGGACGAGCGGGAACAAGCTGTACGGTTTTGCGACATAGCAACTGTAGGATTGTATTGGTACTTAATTGACTAAGCCCCTGAACCTACACCCTGAACCCGTTACTATTCTCGATAAGCTTTCCAAGGAAGCATAATGCATAAGATTGGCGGTTATTCAGACCTCTGCTTTAGTTCTTCAATGCCAGGCTCACTGCAACAGACTCCTCAGTCTGTCCAGGGTGCAGGAATCACGGTTTCGGGTTGAACGTTTAGGGTTTAGGGTAGAGCTTCGGATGACCTGTTAAACCATCTGCTGCTACTACTCCTCCTCCTCCTCCTCCTCCTCCTCTCCTAGTCCTAACCCTTGTCCTCACTAGCAACAGTAGCAGCAGCAGCAGTGGCGGCGGCGGCGGCGCAGCAGACGCTTCTTGCATAGGACGGAGGCTGAGAATAGTAGCATGGTTTTACTCCGCTCCCGGGAGCCGTTATGGTCGCCCATATGGAGGGGTTCCATAACTTAAGGGTCCATAACAAGAATATTTTTGTTGAGATGTTTTTGTGGGACCCTTGTCTAACAAGAACTGCAAAGCTTGAGGTGGAATGACAGGTCAAGGCAATCAAGATAAAGTCCTGCTTAGGGGTGTCCAAGAATGAGGGGTGCCTTCTGTGGACATCCCTATAAGTATTTTGGAGTCTATATTGGATTCCCCTGAACCCCTCAGCCCGATACAGTATATTCCTTAGCAGCGACGTAGGGTTTCCATTCTGTTTTCCACTTGCGTCTCCATTATGGGTACCAAAAGCAGCAGTAGCAGCAGTAGCAGTAGCAGCGGTAGCAGCAGTCGAGGTAGCAGCAGTAGCAGTAGCAGCAGCGGTAGCGATGAGAAGAATAATTCATGAGAATTAATAGTAGTAGTTGCAGGCCTGCTGGGTAACGGCTCCTCAGAGAAGCGGATGCTGCCCAGCAGGTGCGCGACAGCCATGTCTACCTCACGGCAGTCGTATGGTACAGGGTTCAGAGTATAGGGCTTAATTTTCAGCGGTCAGGGTTTAGGGTTTAGGGTTTAGGGCTACCTGACGGCAGTTGTGTATGTACGGGGATTATTTAGGGCATGTATAGGGATTACAGGTTTAGGGATGGCAGTCTAATAGGGTTGTATGAGGGGGATGTAGGAAGACTATATAGCCATGGGAACTATAGTCACTATATAACCCACCCATTACAATAGTTTCCATTTTCTTTTCCATCATCCCTATATAACCCCAAGATATACCCTAGAATCCCTGTAGTGGAATGATAGGTCTCGCTCCGTCTTCCGAGCAACTGCCAAAGTTAGGGATCAAGGGTGCACCTGGCATATGTGGTAGTTTCCCCAAAATAAGCGGATCCCAATGTAGACCCACAAATACTATAATCCTTAATACTATAATCCTTAATATAAGGACCCCCCAAAATGGCACCCCTAATTTTGGGGAAACCCCGATGTGGAGTCCGGAACCTGAAAGGGGCTTCGAAGGGAAACACCTTCAGGCGTGACAGCGGAGCGGCAGATGGAACATGATGTGAAAACCGGGGAGTTTTAGGCATGTATAGGGGTATCGAGGTTTACTGTAGGGTTCAGGTAACAAGGGGATCTGGTTAATCCCAACCCCTATAATAAGGATCCTACAAGATCCATATGAGCTATAGTCCAAAGTCCTAGTAACCCCCTTAATAACCCCTATAATACTCCCCAGTATATAATCCCTTATGCACTTATATGACCCCCCTTTTGGGAGTTTAGATCCTAAACCCTAAACCCGAATCCCCCATATAACTTATATATACCCCCCCCCTCTAAGGAGTTCAGACTACGGCTCATGTGATGGTCAAGGTGTCCTTCTTTCAGTGTCAGGATCACCGGTTCCACAGCGGTTTAGGGTTTAGGGTCCCTCAACCCTAAACCATACCAACAGAGCGAGACGATGTTCTGAAATCAGATGGGGAGGCTTGGATAACATGCGGTCAAGGGGTTTAGGGTTTAGGGATTGGTTTGGGGATTAGAGTTTAGGGCTTAGGGCAGTTTAGGGATTAGGGTTTAGGGTTCAGGTCCCTTCCCGCCACTTCCATCTTCCTGCCTGTCGATTCACATTAGTTGTCATGGCTCCTTGGTTTTCCCCTAAACCCTAAACCCTAAACCCTTTTCTGAATACTACAATCAACAAAACCCTCAACCCCAAACCCTATTTCTTGAGGGGATAGGAGGATGCTCCTTGTAAGCTTAGATGTGCACAGTGTCGAGCCAGCATCAAGAAACCTCGAGCCCTACTTGAAGGGTCAGGGGTCTGAGTAAGTTTAGGGTTTGCTATGGTGAACTTGGAACAATTTTTGTTTTTTGCTGTTCTTTGGGATTATAATAAGTGTTCGCAAGTAAAAAATATGTCCAAGTACCCTCAAGTTTGGGGTTTAGGCCGTACAAAAGGAGAATAACTGGGGGTCTTGCCTGGCTTATAGGAGTTCTAAGTGCTCTTACTAAGTCTCCCTGACCCTCCAAGCTTGCTTAATACCAAAAATCCTGCATGGCCCGAAGCAACTTATCCCTAAACCCTAAGCCATAATCCAGGACTGATAGCATCACCGGTACCTAATGCAAATGACTGGCGGACCCAAAACCCTAAACTCCAAAAGCCCTGAAACCCAAACCCTTAAATTCCCAATGCCCCAGGAGTTTTGGCATAACGTAGTACAACACAACAGCAGTCTGTTCACAGTATGGAATATGCCCATGAAATCTCCCAAACCTAAACCCTTAACCCACAGAGTTCCAGGCGTAGTTCCGCTCCCGCAGGCGCCGACGCGCCATGAGTCGAAGAAGCTGACAAAGCTGTTCCGCGGTGGCCTGGCTTTGCGGGGCGTTGGGGTACCGTGCTCAAAGGGCTATATAGGGGTCGGGCTTTGGTTTTGGGGGTCAGTGTTCAGGATTTTGGGCTTCCTGCGCCAAACCCTCCTGATGAAGCAGCTGGCGCCTGCTTGATGTAGTGCGGCACCTGGTCACAGCAGAAAAGAGCTTAGGGTGCAGGGGTTGGGGCTTAGGGTGTAGGGCGTAGAGGGTGTAGGGTGTAGGCTTTCGGGCTTGGAGTCTAGGTTTAGTAGTTTAAGGGATAAGGGGTGATGTTTTTGCTGGGAATGGGAGAACGCGAAGCGATATACAGGCAGGGTGGGCAGTTTCCATACTGTGGATGGAGGGTCCAAATAACCCAGCTATACCTGTCATAAACCTATTGCACAAAGTCATGACGGGGAATCTAGCCAAAACCGTAGTGCCCTGGTTGATACAAGCGTCACCGTGGTGGGCAAAGTATGCAGCTTGCTATTCAATATATTTCTGGGCACATAAGTTCCGGAAGACTTCACTTGAGCTATTGTCTAAACTCCTAGTATCCCCCTTAATAAGCCCTATAGCAGTCCCCGATATAGTCCCCTATATAACCCCCTTGAAGGAGTTTAGACCCTAAACCCTAAAC